TCTTACTCTCATGGTTCTCCAGTGGTAAGGGAACTGTCCTAGAAAAGTTACGTAGGAGATCCAAGCTAAAGGTGTTTACACCAGCGATTATTGTTCGCTGTTTCGGCACTATGCTTCAGCCTTTATAGATTCCAAATGGCGCACCTGCCCATTATGCACAAACGGTACGGCATTATCTTAAGAAGTTGTTCTTTCACCGGTAGATCGGTCCCAGTAATCCAAAGAATTGGCCTGCTCTGCCAGCAGATTTGAGTCAATAGTGCTTTTGCAGCCTTCTATATCAGTAAAGTTATCGCAGGGACGACGGGCTTGTGGTGTACAGTATGCAGGTGAACTCACATGAGTGCATTGTGGTCAAACGCTTCGTCATTCATTTGTCCTATTCAACGAGTTTCGCGCGTTGAGAAATACATGGTTCTTAGTATCCTCGTGGATTAGATATTGCCTATAAATGCAGCCTCTCAGTTAATTTCTTCTAGAATATTGCTCCAACAGTGAAAGTGTTTGTATGAACGCTCATAGTCTAGCCGGAAACAAATTAGGCAACGTAACGGTACTCGTTTCCTGCAAGGGCGATCAATACTGCGATGGGAGATAAGGCTATGCAGCAACAAGTATTCTTTAGACGGCATAGATTTTCAAAACTCCTTGCTTAACACGTCACATTTCATATTTGCATTGCCTAATTGTAAAGAATGTCTGTTTTGCTAAGGTAGGTTGTTGGAAGGTAACTCCCAGTCTGTAAACGCGTTGCTTATATCCATTTTGTCACTAGGTGGGATGGCACTAAGCACCTATTGCACTCTCCTTGCACAGGCCAGTTACTTCTGTCCAAGCGCAACCACAATTCTACTGCAGTAGCCGGGTGATGAGGCACTGCTGTTTCTATTTTGCACATCTCTCTCCATTTCAAGCCTCCCTACATAGCGCATGTATCGATCGGTGCACTTGCCTTGTGGTGTGCCGTAGGTTGACTCCAACTCAACAATCGCGCGCGGTCCAGCATTTTCACGATGGATGACACTGGCAATTGCACGTGTACCCACATTCATGCATCCGGTCGTTCTGTACTCATGTGCGGCTATGACATATTGAGATATACCAACATCTACTATTGGACAGTGGCAACTTTTTGCCTCATACCAACACTCGAAGGAATGACGCTATGTGACGCATTAAGAGAGTAGGGTTACCAGCGTAGTGAGACAGGGGGTATTTTCATACATGATGGAGCAGAACATGGTCTATCAAGCATCGTTTGATAGATGTGCCGTACTGCTTCAGCTCAAATATCATCTTCGCAGATTGCGCTTCTTTTTCGCATAAAAAGCTTGATTTTGTATGCCCGCATGTCATTTGGTTGGGTATTTGCAATTGTTAAGACTGAAATTCAACAGGTATTATTCTGTTTTCAGGGCTTAAATTACCTTCGACTAAATGTTTTACACGTTTGAACTAGTTGGCGCAAGCGGCAGCAATATAGTGGCGGACTTGCGTTTAAACCAAGCTTTGGGCGAGAACTTGCTTTCGGCGCCATGCTAGCGCCTTACCACTAAGTAGCTAATACCCTATGTACCATACATTGAGTAATTGCGGGTTATCAAAGCAGATAGAGCTATGAATATTGCTTTAGAGCTAAGAGCTTAAAATTGGGATTTTCGTATATACATAACAGCCTTAAACCCAATAATTTTTTAAGGCATTCTCAACGTTAGCCATATGGCCCATTTGGGGGACATAGAGAATTTCCGGTTGCCCTGAGATGAGAAACATTTTAGGGTGACCATAGGGGGTCATGCTTTGAAAAGGGAGTTGTGGTAACACAACTAGCAAGTCACTTAAAACATTTCCGCTAGTTGTTCTCTGCATACTAATCTCCCCTTGTCACGACTGATCAGTGAAATGAAGTACGCGTGCGCGAGGCTGTTTACGAAGATGTGGAATGCAGAACGAGCCGAGGTTCTATTGCGGAGCTAGCGTAGTTCCGCAAATATGTGTACATTTTGCTGGCCTTAGCTTCGACATACAATAACCCTACGGCGACTCAGCCCATGTAAATAACAACCGAGCCGTCCCCGAGAATATGACGCCTAGCCACAGTGAACAAACTGTACTCTCCTCAGCACACTGCGGCTGTTACCGCAGTTTCCTTCAGGACACTGGGTGATAACTCATGTGTCGCAGTCTTTCTTTCTGGTTGTGTTTGTGTCGTAGGGCTAGCTTACGCGTTGCGCGTCTCCACTCGCATCCCCCGTGTACGTCTGAAGACAGAGTCACATTGGCCCGCGGCGTTCCGAATTTGAGCGGTTACTCGTTGTACGCGGGGTGCTACTTTTGAACTACATGTGTCCGTTCCGACTGACTGTCGAAGAAACTAGGACGGGTTATAACGCTTCGTGAACAAACAATTCAGCTACGGTTTGCACAATTAACGGAGAGTCTCAACAACTTAAATCAAACATGTGGACATCTGGTTTCTGTGATGAGTATATATAATACAAGGTGTACTTAAGGATACTACTCTCAATACTTATAATAATCAAAGGCCTTGCCAACACGCATTTGTCGCCATCTATGGCAATAGCCGCTATGCTTTATTAGATTCATTCTTGACACTCTCACAACGGTTTCTTGAACTAACAAGCATTTTCGTCATTGTTTTCTCTTGTTTCTTACATGTTACCTGTTGTCACTGTTTCGTGAAACTATCCTTAATAAATATTTGTCTACTTAACATTGTCATTTACGCAGTTTCATTTGTTTTCCTTCTTTATTGTCTTTTTTCATGAAATTTTCCCAGTTATTTTAGCTACGCACCCTATTTTTTAAAGCAACCATAGCAGTCACAGTTGGGTTGTTTCTAATAGTGTTTCTACATTTTCGGAGAAAACATTAGCTTGCATTCAGTATCAATAATACTGTAGAACCTGTTGAGCATGAATCCTTAAGAAGCATTCCAAACCATTCCTCTCGGCAACTAAACTGTATCCAGGAGAATAGATGGGATGTGTCTTGACAAATAAAGTGCCCTAGCTAATTAACCACAGTCCAGCAAATTTTCCACATACGTAGATGCAGCAAATTTACCGGATTACGACGCTCTTCTGGTGGCATATGTCAGATTAACTAATGATAATAAATTAGTGGAAGAGGTGCGATTTGTCAGGAGAACAAAACCTCAAATAAATAGCCAGACTAGACTCGAGGTGTTCATTGGCTAACAGATTGAAACCTCCATCACAATGTCGAAGGTTGTTGCAGGTGCAGCAGATGGGGTTGAGTAGTTATAGGAAAGTATAGATGTTTACTTGACCATCTAAAAGGTGCTTTTTTTCTCCTTTTCTTACAATTCACTACGTGGTTCACCGAGAAGGCCTAGTTACTTAAACGATTCGCTATCCGTCTCAAGCTGACAGAAAAGAACATTCATTTGGAAGGCCATACACTTTTGCTAAGCATAAAATTCCCTTCCGGAATCTGGAATCTACGCTTCCACGCTGGTTGATTTCAGAAACCCGAGTTGGTCATGTATTCATTCCTATACGCCACACCACTGCTCATTGCCCAACAACAGTGTGTTGTAGAATTCGCTGTCGGCCAGCTCCAACTTTTGCAACTCTTACATTTGTTCATCAGGAGGAGACAGAGCTTATGCAAGCATTCCTTAGGTGACTAGAGTGGGTTTGCAGTTGTAATACGTTGTCGATTCCGCCAGTGTGAATTTACTTAGGATGACATCTTTTCCCTCCAAAGGTACCTGATAAGTAACCATAATTCCGTTGTTCCACTGAGGCCAGGCACTTGAATCTACCGACCGAATGGATACGTTCCATTGACTCAGCAAGTAACATTTGCTTTAATCTTACACCGCATTTACTTGAAGTGAATTTCTAAAAGGAGTACTCCTCACATTTGTTCTGCCTCCAGTAGGTGAGTCGCATTCAACACTTTGCTCTATAATATGCGCGTTCAGGCGCGGTTTGCGTGACAGACAAATAAGTTCTGCTTTCTTGTGATCACGTTTCACGATAAGACTGCTTTTATACCTAAGTGCATGAATACTAACAATTCTCGACATGTTCCTTAGGCTAAATAGATAATAATTTGACCGATATCATAGAGCGATTTTGTTCAATGCCTTCACTGACTACCAATGTGGGTGAGGATGTGCAGAATTTAAAAATCTAGGTTAGCTTTACATGTTGAAAAGTGCCGTCATTTTTACTGACTGCACACCAAATCTTCTTGACCCTGAGACACTATGATTTTGCCTGTCCCATGGCAAATGTTGTCAGTTTGTGGCTTCGAATTCGGAATTCTAATACAGCCGTTCACATTTCTCTGCTAAAAGGCAGCAGCTTTATTGACAGAGTGGGCAGTGACAGATTAATATATAGGCATCCCCTTTATCTGCCTTCCATGGCTAACTGGTTCTCAGTTCCCATGGATGTAGCCGGTGTTTCTTCATCCCTAACCAGCAAACTTCTGATGGCGTCCGGTAGTAGTAAAACGTCAGCTTGGCGCTACTGCCTAATCTTGACGCTTCTTATCTTTCCTGTGGAATAGAAGAGTGCTTAGTATGAGAACCGAAAAGAGTGAAATTTGGGCACTATTGAAATCTCTATCTGGTATAGAAAGTAACAGACTACGACCAAGTATTTGTAATTACCCAGTCAAGCTGGATTCTGTGGAAAGAAGAAAGGAACGTTTGTAGCGTACACCTTCCATCCATGTAAGCTAAAACAGCGTGTGCCTAATTTATCAAACAATCGCTGTACTGACCTGGTCTTATGTGAAGTCTAAATCGCACCTTCTTCATCCGCCTAACATAATCCACCGAGGATCCATGACATTTAGCTTGACATTACGATTTAGCTATCGTTAATTAGCAAATCATGTGCATAAACCTTTAGTTGCTTCTCTTTTCATATGAAAGCGACAATCAACAAAACTAATTAGGATGATGGTTGACGTTGTCAATTTCTTTCTATTTTTCTCAGGAGCGTGATCGGGTGGACACAAGTTCACTGGTAACATTTAAACCTGCTTATGTCGGGACCGACTCCGTTACAAATCAATTGAATTCGTCCACGTCAAACCGTTCTGTAAACATTGGAAAAGGTCGATTCGAAGTTGCACCATCCACGGTACAAAGGAAGCAGGCGACCTCACCTTCGGGAAATGATCCTGTAGGTGATGACGGAGCGGAGTGTATTCCCCTTCGCACACAAGAGCTAATGCGAAAAGGACCCAAAAGTTACCTAGAGGAATGGACATTCAGTGATTGATCAGACCGAAAATGCACTTGTTTATCTGTGCGTATTTCATGAATAGGAATAAATCAATTATATGTCTCCTCCTTATCTATGTTGCAACGTGTCCCAACGGTACCTGGAGGACGAAAGGATGTCTTAGCTGCAAAGTAGCCCAGGGTTAACAATGGAACAAAGTATTGCAATTGTGTACTCGTTATCTACATTCACCTATAGATATCCACTCGGTATCCAGATACCTTTTGATATAAGTTTCTATGCGCACTAACCATTTCTTCCTTGTTTCTGTCTGCTGACAGCCTAGCTGTTAGATGAACATGCTCTACAACCCAACAGTAATGACTATGTCTTAGTTCTAACATCACCAGATGCTGATCGGACCAACGGAATTGATAGACAATTATAAGAAATGGTATGGTTCCGGTGCGGTCATCATATGGAGTGAACTTGCACTGACCGGCACGCGATGTCCATTAACAAAATTCATTTATAAATTACTCCAGATAGGTTGTCGATTACATCTACTAATCAACTAGCTAAAAGTGACATCAACTTCATTAAAAATAACCAGACGTCCATCTTTTGCTTACTGAAAGTCAGTTAATTGTGGATGTTTGTGTGCGGTGTAAAGTTCTTAGAAAGTAGAAGTCACGATTAAAATGCACACTATAATGTGCCTCGACGGAGAATCGAACCCCGGCCCAACGAACCTCCGGACTGCTGCTCCACCACTGAGCTACGGAGGGCTGACGATTAGGTGCACAATTTTTAATACATGACTTCTGCTTGTTGCGCGACGTATTGCCAATGAGCTTACGGAGTCTGTCCTGGTGTTGCGGATTGGCTCACTCACCCGTCACTTTCCAATGGACGGAAGTATCTGTCCTTCAGATGTCAAAACGGCGATGGTAGTATGTGAATTTTAATCGTGACTTCTACTTTCTACGAAATTTGCA